TTCCTTCCTTCCTTCCTTCCTTCCTTCCTTCCTTCCTTCCTTCCTTCCTCGTTTTCAAGGCAACAAGTTTCTTTTTTTTTTGTATAAAACTCATTTTGAGGAATTGCATTTTAACACAATTACACACACTAATTGATAACTCCAAGTGAATTTGTACTCACAAAGTATAACTTCTCTCCCCCCTTAATTTTGAGCCTTTCAAAATCAAAGGAGAGTTCTCTTTTGGAGCCAGTAGAGTCAAAGTATTGTTGTAGGTTAAAATTCTTTGATTTATGTTCACCGATTTTATAATTTTGTTGGCTTTCTCTTTAATGAAAAAGGAAATCTAGACAAAAACTGAGATATATGGAGCCACATTCTTCACCACGTGACACCAACTTCTTGGTGTCTTCACCTGATTACCTGGGTCTAATGCCCATGTAACAGCTTCAGGGGAGATCAAGACCGAGGAAACAGGAAAACAACAACACACAAAGGTCACACAAACGAACTTATACGAGTGTTCACTTTGCAGGAACTGATGAGCATTCTGGGAGTTATTACCTGGAATGTTTGCGGATCTTATGGGGAGACACAAAGGAATAAAGTGCTCATGCTGACATACTTCTTGAAGAAAATCAAATTTATACTGGCATAAGGTCTGAAAAAAAAAAAAGCAAACCGAATGATTATTATTTATACACCAAGAAGGTTAAGAAAAATCTGCACTTGAATCTTATATCTAAAAAGAAGATGTAGTTAATTTTGTGTGACCACCAGGTAATTGTTAAGTTGACAGGCTTTTGTCCCCCTGAAGTGGTAAATAGAGTAGGACTCCCTTTATGTGAATTTTTTTAATGTTTAATGTTTAATGGCCCATGAGGGAGGAGCAGAGAGAGAGGGAGACACAGAATCCAAAGCAGGCTCCAAGTTCTGAGCTGTCAGCACAGAGCCCCATGTAGGGCTCGAACCCACGAACAGTGAGATCATGACCTGAGCCAAAGTCGGACGCTTAACAGACTGAGCCAGCCAGGTGCCCCTGGACTCCCTAAATTTGGAGATCGGTCAAGGCCTCCTTAGGAAATGATCCCATTTGTATCCCATATTGAGCCGCTGTGAGATCCAATCCTGTGCAGTGTGCATTTTCCACTTCTTTTGGCTTCTGTCAGAACGTGTTTATTCTGAAAGGAATTGTACGTCACCACATGCACAGAGCTCGAAAACCACAGTCAGCTCATAGGACAGTTCCCTGTGATCACCTCTTGGGATCCAGCGCTAAAGACGTCAATGGGGCATGTGATCCAAGACTAGACTAACTCTCTCCGCAGGCCCTTTGTTCTCAGACTGAGTTACTGAAATTCGTCTTTTTCCTGCCTTGCAAACAGGCCTGTCTTCTCAATGACATTTTGATTAGGACAGTAATACATGGATTTAGACATGGTCTAAGACAGCTTTCTACATGTGTTAAAAACAATCACATAAGAAGGAACAATTAGCACATTCATAAATATTCTATTTTCACTGACATGCAGACTAAGTAATCCATTTTTAAGACTCAGTTGGGTTGTGTTCACTAATACCAGCTAACAAAATAATAAAACATATTCCATTTGCTCAGATTATTTTAGAATTCTATTTTGTGGCAATTTGGGTTAATAATTTAAAATACTGTCGTTTCAAACGAGAATAGTGCTTGACTTAACCCTTTGCATCAAAGTGAACAGGAGCATAATTAAATTGTATGTTAATTATTTTTCAATGAGTATGTTCTGTTTTCTCTCTAAGAGAGTACATAATTAAGGTCTCCTTGAATTATACCTAAAAGGATATTCTGCGAATTTCATGCATAATTGGGGCACTAACAAAGAATATTCTTTCAAAAAATATTTACAGAGGAAACTGGATTCTCAAAACCCAAATGGCATAGAATCATGTAACTCCCCTAGTCAAAAGTAAATCTCCACTGCCCCAAAAATAATATTCAGATTCCTAAGTGTGGCATGAAAGGATATAAGATCATTATTTACTTTTGGCCTCTGTAGATTTGTTATTCTTTCCCAGTACCAAGATAATTACCCCTTGGGGACTTTCCTTCTTCCTAATGGGCAAAGGTTACTGGGGAACTATTAACTCAGGTGCCCTGTCTTCCTTCCTTAAGAGGCAGGCATGTGACCCAAAGCGGGTTGGTCACACACTTCCTCTCTGGAATGTAAATCTTAAGCCGAGTGTCAAGAGAAAGAAAATGGTCCCAATGTATTTTTTAAGCAGTAGCAGAGCTTGGCCCATGGTTCCTCCTTTGCAATGACTCTTGTGCCCTAGTCCCTGCTCTTTCTCAAGCCCAGCTTTCCATCTCTTTCTTTCACTGATGTCATTGCTCTTCTAATACTCGCCCGTTGCTCAAACTGGCGTAAGTTTCTGTTGCTTGCAACCCAGAGACTCCTAACTGGTACAGCTTTCATGATCTCACCCATGTCCAGTCTTATTTTCCTCCAGCATATGCCCAACTGTAGCTCAATGGTTCTCAAACTTGAAAGTACCTAAGAATCACCTGAAAGCCTTGTTGGAATACAGGTTTCTGGGCTCCACCTGTCACAGTCAGTTCTCAGCTCACTGGTCTGGGAACCACACTTGGAGAATCACTGCTCTGCAGCCTATCTCTCGACACACCCTCCCTATTTAGGAAGAGGGGGTCAGCTGTCCTATTTTGCCCCAGACTCAACAATTTCAGAAAAGTGAGACGTTCAGTGCTAAAACCAAGGCAGTCAAGCAAACTGGGCTGTAAGAACTGTGGCTGAAAAGAATCCCTCCTTTCACCACACACCGGAAATAAGAGTGAAACATCACACATTCATGTTCACACTCCACATGCCACAGCCTCCCCATTAAGAAAGGACTTGGGAGCCTAACTCAGATGAACCGTTTTAAAAGGCTGCCTCTCACTGGATAGACATTATTTTTTGATGTGGAGAATGCACAGGCTAAGGTTTTAGGCAGCCAGACACAGAGACTAGTTTATTTATTTATAACGCAACGGTTTAGAAAGCAATCCCGCCTGCACTTGGCTCTTACCTTGAGGTCACCAGAGGAGAACATGCTGATGTAATTGTTAACCATCTTAAATACAAAGCCCCGGTCCATAAATGTAAAACAGCGCTAAAAAAATATAAAATTGTAAATTCAGATATTTTTACTTTAAAGATTGTTAAAGATTTTAGGAAAGATGAATAAATATATTGCAGTAAAATGATATTTAGCTAAATGTGTTGTGTAATAAATGTTTAAAAAAACTCGACACCATATTTAGGCATTCACCCACGTATGGCAACTAATTAAAACACTAGATAGAGCGCGCACACCAGAAAGTGACAAACTCTTCTTTGTCAACTTTATTTGAACAGCACTTAGAGTTCTGCAGTGAAAGATCATAGCCCTTTCCTTTCCTTTCTATACAGAAGGTTTTAGCTCTTACTTGTCTATTCTTTAATCACTTAGTTCCATTTTGTTACCGTGTTTTAGTAATCTGACTCTGGGGTTTGTAGGGCGAAGGAAGATCCCTTGCGGCACAGCACTGGGTATGGAATAGGGGTGGCAGCGATGGGTCAGGAAAGCCTTTTTACCTTTCTGGCTTCCTTCAACAGAAGGTTGAAGGAAAGAAAACCTTTCTTTTCAGGCAAGGCAGCTTGACTTTGAAGAGTGAAGGTAAGAGACCCTGAGATTGCCATCTCTTCCTCTGTGGTCAAACTCTCTTCACTGTAAGAAGGAGGGTCTTAGGGGCGCCTGGGTGGCGCAGTCGGTTAAGCGTCCGACTTCAGCCAGGTCACGATCTCGCGGTCCGTGAGTTCGAGCCCCGCGTCGGGCTCTGGGCTGATGGCTCAGAGCCTGGAGCCGGTTTCCGATTCTGTGTCTCCCTCTCTCTCTGCCCCTCCCCCGTTCATGCTCTGTCTCTCTCTGTCCCAAAATAAATAAAAAACATTAAAAAAAAAAAAAAGAAGAAGGAGGGTCTTAAACAGCAGGTAGTTCTGGAGGAGGCAGGTGGACATTCCAAGTTGGAACAGCACGCTCTCTCCAAAAGACCAATGGCCATGTCACCAGTAACCAAGCAACAGCGGCCAAATAACCGTGCACAAGTGTGAAGTCGGAGGCACACACGGTGTTTCCTGATGCCGTATCTTGGGGAGGCGCTAATGCAGATTGCCACGTGGAGGTCCTCACGGTGCGCGTGAGTTCAAGTCCGTCCATCCAAATGCATGTGAGAGCGCCTACCACATGCGAAAACCTTTCAGCTGCTGCGCCACTGAGTGGGGAGGGCTTCGTTCTTGTCCAAAGAGCCCAGCGGAAGGTCTTCGCCTCGGTTCTGCACATCGTGGATCTCTTCCCAATTTTACGAACAAGTCTCTTTTCTCAGAAAAGGCTGGACATAAAATCCTGTCATAGGTAGTACACCAAGCGGGAGGTCTCCCACTGAAACACATCTGTGCATAAACAAGAGCTGTTTTCTCTAATAATGTTCTACCAATTGTTAAGTCGTTTATACTTTTGTTTTGTTTTCCTTCGTTTTTTTTTTGTAGTGATTTTTGAGGTTCCTACTCATTCATTACTGTGTCAGTATGTTGCCTCATTTATCTTTTAGTTTTTAATCTGAATTTAAGTTCTTTCAATTACTCTCTAGTCACTAAAAAGGAAATGGCTCTCGTGTCCTACCATCTGCCAGTATAGCAGTGACAAGAGACAGACACGCAGCGTAATCAAAGGCTCAGACGATGTAAAGCAGGAGGGGAGGGGGGGAGGAAGAGAGGGGCTCTTGTGTCTTGTGCACCACGCAGGGTACTTGCGGGTGTGGCAAACCCAGAGAAATGTGGGGCTTTCTCTGGAGAAGACCTCTTGCTGTCTTTTTTCTGTTGGAAGGGGGTTTGGGTCCCATCTTACGGAGAAAGGAGGACCATCCAGTGTAACTGTGGGCTTGAGAAACATCTCAATAAAAAAGCAGGTGAAAAGAACCCTGGGGATGTCAGTGGGGAAGACACCAGGGCTCCTTGAGTCGATGGAGGAGAGGATGGTGAGTCCTGTCACTGAACGTGGCAATTGACACCTCCCAGGGGCTACTGTGGTTATTCTGAGGAACAGACCTGATAGCTTTTGAAGGAGGTCAGGCTCCAGGACCAGTGAATGGGGAAGACAGGGAGAAGGCTGCGTTTGGGGTTTTCTGAGATTGAAGAATGACCTTCGATGTGGTAAGTTTGTCATGCTTTCCAAGGGGCAGTGAGAGAAAAAAGGGGGTCATTCCCAGGAAACAAGATCATCCGCATCAGCCTTCTGCCTGCAGAGAGCCCTCCTGAGGTCAGGCTTCATCAAGCAGCTCTCCTCTCATGGGTCTCCCGTGTCTGGTCCACCCCAATGTGTGCTTCGCCCCAGGTACAGAGGCTCTTCTGCCCGTTGCTGAGGTCTAGAGGGGCCTCTCTCTGCTTCTGTTTTAAAATAATTTATAGTAACCTTTTATAGCAACAGAAAATAATTTGCAGTGGGCTTTGGCAAACTACAGCCCAGGGGCCAAAACTGGCTCACTGTCTGCTTCTATAAATAAAGTTTTATTGGAACACAACCCCACTCAATCACTTCCCTATCATCTACGGTGAATGGTTTAGGGCTGTATTGTGTTCCAATAGCAAAGTTGAGTAGCTGTGTCAGAGACCGTACGTCCTGCTAAAAATTTTTAGTATTTAGCTGTTCACAAAAAAAAGTTTGCAGGTTCTTGATCTGGAGAACTTATAACCTACCAACATTTTCTCAGTTTCGTTTAGTAAACTAAAAGCTAAATATTCTAAACTACGTGCAAACACAGATTTTAATAAAAACAATATTTTATTTCACCGATTGTGAGGACAATGGCAATTTTAGTCTATAATTTGCTCAGTGAAGAGGATGAAGCCCCAAATCGGAAAACAAACCGGAGAAGTGTCCTTGCTCTTTTTTTTTTATGTTCTTCAAGCCACTAGTCCTGCTATTTCCTCTTTCATCTTGGATACTTTCCTTTGCCCTTGTGCTCGACAGCAGCTTAGGTACGACCGGCAGCAACTTTTGCATAGATGAGCTCTATGGAAAAGTGGGTGATGGGCCTTGAGGAGGGCACTTGTTGGGATGAGCACTGGGTGTTGTATGGAAACCAATTTGACAATCAATTATATTTAAAAAAAAAAGTCATAGAGCGTTTAAGTCAAATAGAGTAAATACGAAGACTTTCCCCTTTGCAGAGACTCACTTACCCATTTCTGTCGATGTTTACGGAGAAATATCACAGATGTTTCTTTAAAAATTTTTTTTTTAACATTTATTTTCTTTTTTGAGAGACAGAGCAAGAGCAGGGGAAGGGCAGAGAGACGGAGACACAGAATCCGAAGCAGGCTCCAGGCTCTGAGCTGTCAGCACAGAGCCCGATGCAGGACTCGAACCCACGAACTGTGAGATCGTGACCTGAGCCGGAGTCGGACGCTCAACCGACTGAGCCACCCAGGCGCCCCTTACAGATGTTTCTTTTCTTTTCTTTTCTTTTTATTTTTTAACGTTTATTTATTTTTGAGACAGAGAGAGACAGAGCATGAACAGGGGAGGGGCAGAGACAGAGGGAGACACAGAATCTGAAACAGGCTCCAGGCTCTGAGCTGTCAGCACAGAGCCCGACGCGGGGCTCGAACCCACGGACCGTGAGATCATGACCTGAGCCGAAGTCGGATACTTAACCGACCAAGCCACCCAGGCGCCCCGAGATGTTTCTTTAAATGTATTTTGCTACCAAACTAAAACGGGCTCCTATATTAGATGATTTCCAAAGTTGGCTGAAATAAAGCCATCAGGCAGCCACGTGGGTAAAGAGGCACGGATGTCTGAGCAGGAAAATACAAATTACAAGGAACTTTCCCTTGCTCTCTCCTTGGTATCAGGCCTGCATGAGAAGAGTACTTAGATGGGTTCGCTCAGGTACGGTGGAGTTGTGACCCAGATTGGCAGTAAAAAGAAAAATTACAAAAGCTACACATGTATCCATGGACCCATTTGCATCCCATCTACTTTCAGGACGGAATACCCAGAGAATGTACAGGTCTTGGCTTAGTTGTTGCAAAAATCTTACTTTCCCATGATATGATATATCATGGAGAGAGGCACATTGTCACCTAGGACATTTTTAAAAAAATGTTTATTTTTGTGTTTATTTTAATTTTCTTTTAACGTTTATTTATTTTTGAGAGAGAGAGAGTGAGCGCATAAGCAGGGGAGGGGCAGAGAGAGAGAGGGGGACACAGAATCTGAAGCAGGCTCTGGGCCCCAGGCTGTCAGCACAGAGCCCGACGCGGGGCTTGGACCCACAAACCGTGACACCATGACCTGAGCCGAAGTCAGACGCTTAACTGACTGAGCCACCCAGGCGCCCCTCACGTAGGACATTTTTATATGCCCACACCAGACATACTGCTCTCTCCATTCTTGGAAAACAATTTTGACACAGCTACGGTGTTACAATTATTTTTCAATTGTGAAATTCCAATGCCAACTGATCCGCAGTATTTGATCGCTGCTGTAAAATTTAATAACCAAAAGAAGCAGAAGTCACTTGAAGCCCAAAGTGAGCAGAGCACTCTTATCAGATTTCCGGGAATATAAGAGATTAAGAAAAAATGTTTATTTATTTGTTTTGAGAGAGAGTGTGTTTGCACATGGGCCTGCAAGCACGTAGAGTAGGGGCGGAGAGAGAGGGAGAGAGAGAGTGCAAAACAGGCTGCAGGCTCACAACCTGCCGTGAGGTCCTGACCTGAGCTGAAATCAAGAGTCGGACCCTCTACCAACCGAGCCACCCAGGTGCCCCTATATGAGATTTACAATGCCAACAGCAGGAGTGGAGAAGCTGAAAGCTCAAAGTTCATCAGTTCATAGGCATTGTGCCAAATGACTACATTAAATTTTACATTCAAAACATCATTCTGTCTCCTTTTCCCTTTTTCTCTCCTAGTTCAAAAGATTTCCTCTGATAATCTTCACAAAAAGTTAAAAAAAAAAAAGTTTTCTGTGTCAAGTAAATGCCATTAAAACTAAAACTTGAGGGGCACCTGGATGGCTCAGTCGGTTGAGCATCTGACTCTGGTTCAGGTCATGATGTCACGGTTCATGAGTTCGAGCCCCACGTCAGGCTCGGTGCAGACAGTGAGGAGCCTGCTTCAGATCTTCTGTTCCCCTCCCTCTGTCTGCCCCTGTCCCGCTCCCGCATGCACACACACATTCTCTCTCTCTCTCTCTCTCTCTCTCTCTCTCTCAAAAATAAACATTAACAAACAAAAAAACACTACAATTTGAAAACAATGCTTGCAGAATGGACTTTTATAATGTACAACATATTCAACTCTTTTCACTTATAAACTTCACCTAGGTATTGCTTTCGATTTGCAGTCCATGTAATCTATGTATCTTACAGACCATATTTGTTTATCTATTGCCAATCCGTGCTTTTAGCCCACACATTTCACAAAACTACTGGGACCACCGTTAGCTTCTACTCCATGCTGTCCTTTTCAATCTTCGACATTTTTTACTTGCTCCCAATTCTGACATTAGTTTATGTACAAGCAGCAACTTTTGGATGCATAAGCTCCAAGGAAAACATATTTATTCCAACAAGCACACAGCATTTAAGCCAAGGAAGACAGAGAAAGGGTCTTCCCCCTTTTAAAAGACTCGCTTAGCCATCATTCTTTGCAATTTAGGGAAGAATATTACAGATGTTTCTTCAACATAATTTGCTTACAAATTGGACAATTTATCATTTTTTCCAAATTTCCTCTTCTACCAAGCACTTCAAATAACCTACTAGCATAGTAATAAACTTTATTCCTGTACATCTTAAAATGTGGTATAAAACTATAGTAATTTTTCCTCGACCCTCTTCATCCCTAATCTTGACCATGCCTTTTTTTTTTTTTTCTGAAAGCAAGTAAAAAGCAAAAATAAGAAGCAAAATATTGGAGAAAACAGTGAATGTGAGATGAGACCAACTACAGTGTATAGTTTGAAATGATGTTTAATATACTAAAAACAGATTTTACTGGATTAAAATTCACCAAAGATGATTTGGAATAATTTTATGGCCTCTTGGCTTTATATTGTTAGTATTTATTTATAAATTCTCACACTTATGCAGTATGTTCTTCTATCATAAAGATACAAGAAAAGTGGCTTCATCAAGGATATAATAGTCAATAGTTGGGCAAAAGAAGGAATAGAAGAAAAACATGTTTCTAGTTGAATGTATTATTTGATAAATGATATACCATTCTTCTACATTAGCTTTGTTTTTTTTTTCTTGACTAGCATTTTTGCCTTCTCAATTCAATCTGTAACCCAAAGAAATATAACTTTAGTACGATATATATGTGTATATATATACTGACGTTAGAAAGTAGTTTCTCAATACTTAAATTGATCATTTTTAAAATGCGATTGGTGCATAATATTTTCGTCATGTATAAAAGAGCCTGGAGGTAATATAATAAAAATGCCAAATTACCCTAAGTTCCCAAAGCGGCTATTTGACATCATTCGTAGAGCTACAGGCAATCCAGAACATTACTCCAAGGGCAGAATGCCCAAGAAAATATTGCCACATTGCAGCTTTTCCTTTAAAAATCTCACTTAAAAAATATTTAGAAATACTAAGATTTGACAATACTCAAATGGATACTTTTATTGAAGCTTGGTTTTTCTTCTGGGACTCTAAATTGGAAAAAAATATTAATTTTTTTTTTTTTTTTTACTTTGAGAGAGAGAGAGAGGGAAACAGTGTGTGAGCTGGGGAGGAGGAAGAGGGAGAGAGAGAGAGAGAGAGAGAGAGAGGGAAAATCCCAAGCAGGCTTCAGGCTCAGTGTGGAGCCCAATGTGGGGCTCGATCCCACAATCCTGGGACCATGACCTGAGCTGAAATCAAGAATTGGATGTTCAAATGACTGAGCCACCCAGGCACCCCAAATCGAAACAAAATATTAAAAAGTAAGATGTATAGATAAAAGTATTCATCTAATAGTGCTAAGTTTTGACTCTTTTATCATAAATGGAGATGTGAGTTGATTAACATTCAGAATATCTTGCATTCACTATCATGAAGGCTTCTATGGGACTGTGAACTTTTTTAACTGTACCTTAAGAAATCTGGCAACGCTTTGATTTGCCCTTCTTGTCTCTTCAAGTGCATCTTTGTACTTCCAAATCACGTGATCGCATAGGACCATTACAAGATTGTCCAATTCATTCTGGTAAGATTCAGGAAATCTTTGAGTCCGAGAAAGCTGGGGAAAGAATGGATCATTTCTTTAAAATGTGGCTTGTGGAATCCTAAGCCTGGAAAAAAAGAAACTGAAAGACTTCCTTCATCTTGTATGTATGAAACAAAAAGTCGTTTTGAAAACTTGAAAGCAATTACAAAATAGGAACCCTTTTGATTTCAAGATTATAATTTCCACCATTTTCCCTTAACGCTCCCTTCTATCTTGGCCAATGATGTTTTTAACTTTTTAAAAAATTTTTTCTTAAGTATATTTATTTATTTTGAAAGAGAAAGAGAAAGAGAGAGAGAGAGAGAGAGAGAGAGAGAGAGAGAACACAAGCAGGGGAGGGTCAGCGAGAAGGAGAGACAGAATCCCAAGCAGGCCCTGCAACATTAATGCAGAGCCTGACGTGGGGCTTGAACTCAAAAATTGTGAGATCATGACCCGAGTCGAGATCAAGAGTTGGACAGTTAACCCACTGCACCACTCAGGTGGTCCTCACTTTTTCATTAAAAAGTAAATTATCTATTAATAGCAAACTATTCAAACAGTGTAGAAATGTAACATGTTCTATGACCTCTCACATCTTAATTTCCCCCCTTCCCTGTTAGAAAATAACTACAATAAATATTAGTGTAGATTTCCATTAACACGTAGTTTTCTATTTAATTCAAAATCAATTATTTTGATTTTTTAAGATGCGGTATCCCCAATAAACAACTATAAGAGATCAATGAATGAGTAACTGAATGAGTGCAGATACTGGTTTGAAATGTCCTCTAGTAAAGTCCCAGCTAGTCTTTTCTGAAAACATATTTCAGCTTTATTGACGTGTAACTGACATAGAAAACTGTAAGATGTTTAAAGTGCACACTGGTGCTTTGATACACATATACCACATGTATATCGTGAAAGATTCCTTCCATATAGTTAACATATCCATCACCTCACATGTTTATTATTTTTTTTGTAAGAACATTTAAGTTTTACTCTGTGAGCATATTTCAATCATACAACACACTGTTATTAGCTATAATCACCAGGTTTTACATCAGCCTCTCCACCTTTATTCATCTCGTAACTTCAAGTTTGTACAAGCTCATCCTAAGATCATGGTCCCAGGATATGCCACAGCAGGTGCCAGTGGGACCTCCCAGTTAAGAGACTTGCCACCAGACATAAAATGACTTGGCTCTGCGATTAGATAACATTCATTGACCTAAACTCTGTGGGTTCCTAATGACTCTCCTCCGGTCCAGGAATCTTCTGCTCCTGTTGGACCTCCCACACAGAAGGGGAAAGTTTCGGGCAGCTAAGTTTTCCCATCTAGCCGTACTTCATGAATTCACATAGCCCTTCGCACGAGACAGGCAAGATTGATTCATCTTTATAAGTTGACTTTAAAATTAGCTTCACATTTTCACCATAGATAGAAACACAAAATTTAGAGTTAGACTGAACTCTATATACTTCTAAAATTCTCAGCACCCAGCCTTCCATGTGACAAGATTAAAAACCAAGGAGGATGAAGTTACAGGAATCACATGGAACAAACAAGAGGTTCAACTGGCTTTTCCTTCCTCCTCCTTCCTTCCTTCCTTCCTTCCTTCCTTCCTTCCTTCCTTCCTTCCTTCCTTCCTTCCTTTCCTTCCTTCCTTCCTCCCTTCCTTTCTTCCTTCCTTCCCTTCCTTCCTTCCTTCCTTCCTTCCTCCCTTTCTTCCTTCCTTCCTCCTTCCTTTCTTCCTTCCTTCCTTCCTTCCTCCTTCCTCCCTTCCTTCCTTCCTTCCTTCCTCCTTCCCTTCCTTCCTTCCTTCCTCCTTCCTCCTTCCCTTCCTTCCTTCCTTCCTTCCTTCCTTCCTTCC